ACTACTAAAATATGCTACAAAAATGATTATCAGTGGGTTTAGAAATCTTAAAACTAAAAATAAGACACCGGGAGAGGACTAGCTAGAGAGTATGTGGTAGGGTGCTGAGTGTGATCCAAGAAACCGAAGTACCTTCCGAAGCCAGTGGACAAAGTGCGGATGTTGTTAAGGTGTCTCATACAAGCACGTACATGATGCAAACCTGCAAAATGCTTACTTCCCTAATACCTGAGAAAACTATGCTTTCCTAGTATTCAGGATTAAGTTACACATTAGGCGGGGAAATCTCCAGGTAACTACTCAGCTCCTCTTAAAATGGAAAACGTGGGTGGACCTTCGATCTAGGTGCCAACCGTCCATCGCCAGCCAGCCTACTGCGGAACAAGTGATGTGACCTGATGCAGCTGGTTGTGATTCTTAGTCCGATTGGACCCTAGCGGACTCACACCGGTGTCTTCCCTAAACTTGCCAAAAAAGCAAAATGGAGGAAAGTTCGTGAGAGCCAAAGTTTTCAACCTCGTGAACGTCAAACGTTTGCTTTTGAACGCCAATTGGTTGCTTTTAACTCCTGCTCCTCGATTTATACATGCACTAGATAAATAAATAAATGGTATATTCTCGGTAATACGTGACAAACCTGCAAAGGCGCGATCAACTTTGCATAAATCATAGCTTCTTTGGAATTTAAAAACATTTCGTTTTAATGAAAGGTAAAACTGAAACGATGCGGGCCAAACGAGTGAACATTCGGTCAGGTAATAGTCAGACCCAGGAACATGATGGTGCTGGGGCGCCTAAAAATTGGTCATTACTTGTGTCAAGATACAAGTTAAGCGTGATTTTGCCATGTAGTAACAATGCGCACAGGATCCTAAACGGGGTTTTGTGTAAGCAATGATCATTACAAAATCGGAACGAACTGTCCTCCATCAAAACGTTCATCGTAAACTTATTTGCACAGAATGTATGTAGAAGTCTGAGGACTGCGTCAATGCGAAAGGTTCAACTGTGACGTTATTCAGTGGCGAGTCACATCCGCCACGTTGCGGTGTTGTTAAGCTAACATTTGTGGCTTTTTATAGCAAGAACGCCTGCCAGGCGAAAAGCCACCACGTCCTGGAACACTACCGTAGCTTCCGTCGAACAGTAGTGCTGGCCGGCTATGCTTAGTACAGACCGATTTTGTCCTATATTATTCGCAGTCGGCTGACGGCCAAGTTTCTTCCTTGGTTGAGCGCTTGGCTTGGTAATGATCGGCAGTAGTAGTTGAAACCGGCCAGTGATGTAAAAGGGTGGCAGAGTCGAATGCTAAATGGTGCAGGTAAGTAAAATCATTGTTAATAGAGGCTGGCATTTTCTGTTATATACTTGTCCGGTTCGCAAACTTTGTCCAGTTATTCACGCTGGATTTTCCATGGGGATGACGCATGCAGTTGTTTCTTGTGGCTGTAAACGTACATAACAGGGGAAAATGCCATTCCTTTGTCCAATGTGGGATCGTTACGTGTTTCTTACTCCGCAACATGGAATTGGAATTCCTTCAAATGCCATGTTCAATTGAAAACTTCATGAAAGTCCATCAAAAAAGCCACTTATACAAGCGCAAAGTGGTCCATGAAATGACATCGGAAAAGCTCCAGGTGAATGGAGAATCGGAATGTTCGACGCCGTGAAGGTAATCACGCCAGGCTTGTTTATTTTCCGTTGTGGAACAGGGAATCCATGTAAATATAATATTTCGGGTGAGTACGAGGTGAGCTAAACTCATTTGTTTAGACCAAATAAAAGTGGCGTCTCAGGATTGGCAGGAAGAGCTCCATTTGGGACGATGAGTGGGTTCTTCAACTCCGGAAGAAAGGATCAAGTTTTAAATCAGCTGGCTATTGAGAATGAGTCGGCCAGTTCCAGTGAATAACCTTTGTTGTTTTGATCGATGTAACGAAAACAAAAATGTGTATCCTGACCATGGTAGCGAAATAACAGGAAAGCAGCACTTACTGAATGGCGTATCGCCAAAATATATTTTTGGGCTTTAAAAACGTTGTATTCGTTTCTTGGTGTTTAAAACGTTTTAACATTTTATAGCTTTCGTAGTGGGTTTACCAAAAAGCCATGGAAAGCGGGAATAGAGAAGCGAAAGGAATGATAAGCTTTTAAGCGCACTGTGCAGTGAACTCGCCTACCTGGCCTGGTCGAATTCTGTGGTTCGGTTGACGAGGTTGTCGACTTAGGCGGTTTGTCGGGTCGTGCGGCTGGGGGTGTGGATTATTATCTGCTCCCTGACTTAATGAAAATCGATGAATCCGTTGGATTGTTCTCCTTGGAGTCAGTAGCGTTAGGAGAAGGCGTATCTTCCGTCATAGTCTGTATTCCTTTGTCTAAAGATAAGCAGACACTGTTGTCGCGCTCAGGTTTCATGTGGGCAACGTTGGGGCGGTCAATGGTGACGGCTTCACGTTTGTCGTATCGCTCAAAATAGATACACAGTCCTTACGTTATAGCACCTCGAAATGACCTTTATAACGTTCCTCGAGTGGTCTACGGAGACCAGCAACACGGAGGAAAGTTAACCAACCGTGCTAAAGTTTTTAGTCTCGAATGACTTATGCTGTTGTTTTTGATGTCAATAAACTTAAATTACGTATGCACGTGCCTAACTGTCGAGCGTAGTTTGCATCATAACGGGAATGCTGGGAATCTCGGAAAAGAAGTCACCAGCTAGACGTAGGGGTCGTCTATAAACCAGTTCGGCGCTGGACGCGTGCAGAGCGCTCTTGAGGGATGACCGGATGCCAGGTTACCGAGTGCGGAGCTTTAGTCCGACTCTGTGTATTAGCGGCGCTGAGTGAAGCATTTGGCTGTCTGTGGGAACGCTCCACCTTGCAGTTCTCCTGTGGATGATAGGCGGTAGTATGAACGCGTCCAAATCCGATGAGGTTAGGAAGAATGTAGGAAGTCCAAGGCTCGAATTGCGGACCGCCGTCGGTATGTACTGTGGCTTGTCAGCCATATGATTTGATCCGGCGCCTGATAAAAGCGTATGTGACGGTTTCCGCCGCTACGTTGAGTGAGGACGGCTTCGGGCCAAAGGGTGCAAGGACCGACCATGGTCAAAATGTAGACCATTGCCTTGGACTGGGCCAACGGTCCAATTAAAGCGAGATGGACATGGGCGACTCGCGTTAAAACGGGCGGGTAGCGAGCAAGTGGAGCAGGTACGCGCCGCTGAAGTTTGGCTTGCTGGCACGTGAGACACGTGCGTACCCAAAGCCTAAGTTTACGTGCATTTCAGGCCAAGCATATAGATGAGATATGCGTTTGACGGAGGCCCTAATGCCTAGGTGGGAAATGTTGTGAAGCGTAGCAAAAATAAGACAGCGAAAGGTTTCAGGAACGACGGGTCGAGGTTGTCTTGCAGATTTGTCATGTAAGATCGTGCCCACTGATGATGGCAGGGGGTGTAGGGATGCCATCAAAAAAGAATTGGAAAGCTTTGTAGAATGCTGATCATTTGATTACACAGCTACCCTGGCAGATAGATCAAGTACCATCTTATCGGGGCTAATTGCATACACACTTGAGAGAGCATTAGCGACAACAGTATGTTGACCAGAAACATGTCGAATATCGGTCGTAAACTGAGCGATGAAATCCAGCTGACTTACCTCACACTGTGAGTGCCTAGCTGATTGCTTTCGAAAAGCAAAAGGTACTGGCTTATGGTTGGTAAAGAGGACAACATGTTTACCATCGTGGACGTGTCGGTGGTGCAGAAACGTCAAGCAAACAGCCAGCAGTTCTCGACTGAATGTGCTGTACTTACGTCTGCTAGCTGCAAGCGCCTCGAATATAAAGCAAGTGGCTTCCAACATCCAGTAGTCCTCTGCTGTAAGACCACGCCAATAGCGATGCTCGATGCATCGAGGGCAATGCTTAGCAGCGCTTGGCGTCAAACTGATGAAGCATAACTGAGGCGGCTAAAGCATTGTTACTGGAATTAAAAACTTTACTAGCGGTGTGGGTACGCGCTACATCCTCGTTCTTGCGACCGTGGAGTATGGCGGTCAGCGGGCTGAGTAAATCAGCGCAATACAGAAGAAATCGTCGATAGTAATTAATCCTGACGTTAAAACGGCGAATGGCAGCTACCGCGTTCGGAAGCGGTAAGTCACGGATATCTTGAACCTTGTGGTCTAAAGGCCATAAGCCATATTGATCATTGAGATAACAAAGGAAATCTATAGACGGCTGCTGAAAGATACACATGTCTGGATTGAGAGTGACACAATTGGCAGCAAGTCTTTCGAATAGGATTTTGAAGTGCTGTCGATGTGCTTCCTCGGATGTGCTGACTACTAATATATCGTCGCTATAGGGATAAGTGAAGTCTAATCCAAAGGTGCCGGAATCGCTAAAACGCTGAAAGGTTTGCGCTGGGTTGTGCAAACCAAATGGCAAGCAAAGAAATTTGAACAAACCAAAAGAAGTAATGCAGCCGTTTTAGTTATGCCTTCGTCGGCGACCTGCATCTGGTAGTAAGCGCCTACCAGGTAAATATTCGAGAACACAAAGGCACCTCCTAGGTTAACCGTTATATCCTGAATGTGTGGTATGATCTACCGGTCGGGAACCATTACCTTGTCCAGAGGGTGGCAGTCGCAACATGGAAGCCAGGCTCCTGACTTTTTAGTTATCATACGAAGCACCGACGCCTTTGGGCTCTTCGAAGTCCTAACTATACCTAGTTCGAGCATTGCTCGAATTCGGCTTTAGCTATACAAAATTTATCCGGTGTAAGTCGCCTGGCCTTAGCGAAAGCAGGTGTTGCTTTCGTAAGGATAAGATGTTTCGCAACATCGGTTGCGGCGCGCGTCGGATTTACTGCACGCAAGACCTGTAGAAATAGGTCAAAGAGCAGTTTACCGAAGTGTGAGCTCATCTGATTCGAGTACACCGGACTGCTTGACTCAGAATTGGTCAAAGTTTCAATGACAGTGAGACTCGTTAAACGGTCGACGAGGCTGTGTTGCTTTGTATCTATAAGAAGGTCGCAGTGACGCAAAATCGAGTCCGAGGATGGGTGGTTGAAAGTTTGCAACGAGGAATACCCATTTAAAAGATCGTCCTTAATTTAAGATTAAGCGTGCGCGAGCGTCGACTATACATTCGAATGCTGGTTCCGCTAGCTGCGCGTAATAAGCTAGTCACCTTCTCAGTGACGTAAGTAGGCTCGTGTGAGATAACGCTAACTTCTGCGCCCGTGTCAAGGAAGTAGCTTAGTCCGGTTTTCCGGTTGGTAAAGAAGAATAGGCGACAGCGGTAGCCAGCCACGTCCGTCCCCCCACGTGCTGGTCGGTACGCTTCCCTGTGTTGGCGCTTAAGTTACCAAGGGAAAGGACATCATCTGTCTTACGGACCAAAGCGCTTGTGGTACCAGCCATAGGATGGTCTAAGCAAGGAAATCAAAGAGGATCGAGAACGCTTCGGCACTTAGAACGCGATCAGCGGTTAAATACGGAGACCGAACTGTCTTTGACTCGTATAGTAAGCTTGACCGTCTGTGCCCTGCGCTAACACAGCATCAGAGGCCGATTGGACCTGCGAAATTGGGCGTAAGATTTCCAGCTACGGTCGGCGATGTCAGCCAACAGGAAAAGTGCAGCACTGCCATTAGCGGAAAGCACGTGAACGTTTCACGGGACAGTAGTCGTAACCACGTCTCCCGGAGAAAATTATCACCTACAGAGGTAGGTTTCGCTCGGCTCTGTATTTTTCTTAACAACTGAAACGGCCAAAGGTCACCGAGTTGCGTTTCACTTAAATGTTTGGTTACTCTGTCGGTCGGACTTGCCTGTTCTTTGCAGCACTGCGGCTTTGCTCACTTCATGAGTTCGCTGATCCTCGGGCAGATCTAGAACATTATCCAGGTCGTAGATAACAAGCGGTGGGGCGCGGCTGCAACGTGATGGAACTTAACGTAGCCGGACTTACTACCACGGAAAAGGAACTTTTATTCTATTGCGAGCATCAGGCCATAGGATTAGTCTCGCAAAAAGGTGGTCTAGAGAGACTAACGGTACTAACCTGGGCACCCGAAATTGAATTTATAACTTCCGTGACGAAAATTAGTGAGCCAGCAGAATAAATAAATAAGTTGTGTATCCTCGACGAAGTGTGGTACGCGTGCTCAGGCATGATCATGTTAAGAGTAAAAAATGTGACCATTTAATGCACAATGGAACAATGGGGTTGTTGCATACGTTAAGATATGAATGTATGTAAGCTTGCATGTAGGCGTGTTTAGCCTTGTTTATGGGATTGGTAAACGTTTCCTTTCATTTTGCTTGAATGTGTTTGAAGGAGCCGCCAGCGCTAAATAGATGCTTGCCACCTGCGGACTTGAAAAGATTGTCCGGATGAGCAGTGAGCGACTTTAGTCATTGGCGAGTCACAACCGCCACGTCACAGTGTTGTTAAACGGACTTCTGTGGCGTTTTATAGAGAGAACGCTTGGCAGGCAAAACCTACCACGTCCTGGAACACTGCCGCCGAAAAATTTGCTGGATGTGGCTAAACCCGAACCACCCAACTGGCACCACAGAAGGTTGTTCGGCCAGCCAGCTAAAATTAAAAGTATAGAAACTTAAAAATTTAGACGCAAAATGTGACTGGATCTGCAAAGGAATGTGAATAATAGACTCATTAACTGTAAGTGCTTCGCCGATTATAAGTCGGGTGGCACCAATTGTAGCGCGTTGAGCTAACGATATATCCGATACTCAGAGTTGAGTGGCCAACTATAGGTGTGCTGCAAAACATATTAAAATAAGCTACATGAATGTTTATTGGTAGGTTGGCAACCCTTAAGACTAAAAATAAAGCACCGGATGATGATTAGCTATGGAGTATATAATAGGTTGCTGAGTGAGCTCAAAGCAGCGACGTACCTTTTGGAGCCAGTGGACAAAATCCGGATGTTGTTAGTGTGTCATACAAAAACGTGCACGATGAAAACCTGTAAACCACTTACTTCCCTAATACCTGAGAAAACTAGGATTTCATAGCATCTAGGATTGAGTTACACATCAAGCGGGGAAATCTTTAGTCATTAACGTCCCAGCTTTCCTACTACTACTCGGAAGCCCGGATATTCCAATGCTGCTCCTTAACGTTTCACCCTCTTTATGATCAGCGGAAGCTACACAACCATTTGGAAGCACTGGATAGTCATTCCACGTGACAACCGTAGCGGTCGCCAAAATATTGACAATTATCATCATATAAGCCACACGCCCTTTGCTTCTGGATTCTTGTAAATGATAGTAAAGTAGGGTATGCTTCATTTCCTACTGAAGCACAACCTCAACACCAATTCCTGCTGGCTAAAGCTTGTCAACCGTACGTTTGAATTCTTTTTACTACATGACGCACTACATCGACGCAAGGCCAGCGCTAGTAACTATCTTCCTGGCTATGAAACAAGCGTTTGAACAGGCGCCACACAATGGACTACTAACAAACTAGCTGCCTTCGGCGTCACTAGTCATCTTTTTTCTTGGTTTGCTTCCTACCTTTTTAACCGAAATCAGTCAGTAAAACTAAGCGATACCTCTTTTAACAGGACAAGCGCAACTAGCGGAACATTTCAGTGTACGGTACTTTACCCTTTTCCGTGTCTGTTATAGAGTAATGACGATGTCCAGGTCTTTAGATACGGTACTCCATACATATTTGCCGATGACGCCGACGTTGTACTTTCTTTCGATCCTAGCCGGTTACAAACTGGCCTCTGAAACATGTAGTAAGGTCTTCGTGTTCTGGAAATTTGCTGTGATATTTGGGGGCTAGCATTCTTATCATTGAAGTGCAATGTTCTCTCTTACCGTTGCCCTATACCGCAAAAGTCCCTAACTCTCAACGGTGCATCTTTAGGTAACAGGTCCACTGTGCGCGATCTCAGTATGCATTACTCTATCTGGTTAACCTTTTTGTACAAGCAAGCTATGGTTCTGCCAAAGCCAGGTCTATCGTTGTGTGTATACTGAAGTCATTAAGCCTGCCGGACTCTCGACGCACACTCTAGAAAGTATGTGCTTGACCGATTTTAGAGTACTGCTCGATAATTATCTCCAATTAACGAAAGATTAATAGATTGAGGATAGAAAAAAGTCCAGCGGACCTTTACTAAGCTCCTTCTTGGCCCACCTACAACCAACCACCAAGGACGCTGCAAACTGCATGGCCTGGAGGCTCTCTGGTTACTTAGGCTTAATACCAACCTCGTGTTCTTCTATAAATCTCAAAATCTTTGAAGCAAGTGTGAGCAATTTCTTTCAAACGATGTGTGATACACGTAACACCTTACTCAAAAAGGCTCACTCATTCTCTCTCCCTTCGACACCTCGCATTTTGGGTTTAAACTTCTTTCTCTATAGATATGCCCACTTATGGAACAAGCTGCCAGAAATTGTCTCAGCGTCAAAAACTGCAGCGGAACTTTCCTCGGCCATACATCGATTACTAAGTCGACCTGAGTCATTATCTAATATTTCCTTGACACATGCAAGATCAAGATGCTGTCTGCTTCCATCTACTGTTTTCACTACACGTACAATGCTCTGACTGTTTGCACTACGCACTCATGAACCCAAAGTATCGTCATTCACTGACGACTTCATCCCTCATGATGTTCCTGAGCTTTCTGACTCCTCTTCCGACGATGCTCAGTTGCACGACCGCGAGCAATGGTACTACATCCGGGAGGCTCTTTCTCTCGAAAATGTGGCGGGCGCCTCGTTGACAAGGATCCTCATATCACCAAACCATAAGAGGTGTGGTCTTAGGCTGTTAAAACTTGTGTTACAGTCAAAACTAATGGCACAGATACCACTAGCGAACTGGATTACATTTCGTTGCACATTGCCAACAGAAATTCGTCTGAAAGCCGCAGGAACACCAACACCTTCTAAAGACAATTCAGTAGAGACACGACTCTTAATGCAAACGCCAACTGCAGGACCCGACTCGGGGACTGTTCCAAGAGTAGCCTTACTATCCAGAGGGGCACAGCAGAGCACGAGCAAACACCGGGATTTGTGGCATCTGATACCTGCTTATATATCAATTACTTCTCGAGAGTATGCAACCCATCCAAAAAACGATTAGGCGCCGACCCTTTAATGGTTGGCGTAAACTCATTTGCTTCCTCCATTCAATCTAACACACCTTTGGTCTCCGAGAAGCTCTCATGGGTGTACACAAATGCTCAAGGTCTACTCAGCAAATTAACTGAATTAAGACTTCGACACGCCTCTGCAGCTTGGGACCTCTTCCCTGTCACCGAAACGTGGTTGCGCTGCGAGTTAACGGATGCTGAAATTGCACTAACAGGCATGTCCGTTGTCCGGTAGGATCGAACCAGCAAAGGTGGTGGGGCAGCTTTTTACTTTCGTAACAACATGCAATGCGAACGCATAAAAGATTCGGAAACTAACATACCTGACGCCATTTGGGGTAATTTCCGGCTAAGAGGAAACGATCTTGGTCTACTGGTTGTTGTTTACCGCCCACCATCGTCTACTCCTGAGATAGACTGCAATTTGATGGCTGCGTTAAGGCAAGTAGTAAACAGGAAGTACAGTCACGTTCTAGTTACCAGTGACTTCGACTTACATGCCCTCGAATCCTAGGCCACACCAGGAGAGCAATACAAAGCAGGTTTGCAAAATCTGGTTTCCGACTACCATCTTTATGGCCATGTCACTGCACCCACCAGATTCACGGGAACTGACAGGCCATCCAGGTTGAACCGAATATTCACCAATGAAGAATCAATGGTCGAGAGAATAATAACCGATGCTCTTTAGACCGCAGTGATCATGCGACGCTATTGTTTCATTACATGTGCTACGCTGATTATCCTAAAGAGCATGCCGAGGAATATCGCGTCGTAACCAACTATGACGACCTGTTCGACCTCTTTGATGCAACCATTTGGTCGTTCATAGCTGAAGTAACCCCCGAGGTGGCATGCGGCAAATTCGTCAGCATATTTACCAAGCTCGTGGCAAGGACATCTGAAACCAACCTCTACCGGCCTAGAAGAATGAAGTCTTTCGTAAGGAGCAGGACACGTATGTGCATGACATTACGGGACTTGGCATGGCACACTTATATAGCCTCACGGAATGACCATACCTGGGATGTCTACACAATCCATAGGAACCACTTTATCAAACACGTCCGCGAGGATAAAATTAAGAACCAACAAGGTCTAGTGCAAAAGTTTCGCTCTAATCCCAAACTGCTATACAGACACGTAACCAATTTGCGCCGTGTTACGCGCGGTATTCCTGCTCTGCACACAGCATGCGGGTTAGCCCAAACCGCACAAGAGGCTGCCAACGTCCTTGGACAACAATTTGGCCGTACCTTCCAAAGCGCGCAATCACCATACATCCTGCCTAAGCCGATAAAGCCGCCATCAGGGCTAAATCACATATCGTTTACCTCCACAGCTGTATTGAAGAGACTGATGGCTCTGCGCGAGTTCAGCTCCCCGGGTAGGGACGGCATTCGTATAAAAGCGTTGAAAGTTACTGCCATGAGTTTGGCAGGAACATTAGCAATTTTCTTTCAACGGTGTCTGAACGAGACGCACTTCCCCACGGTGTGGAAGCACTGAATCATCACGCCAATCTTCAAAAGTGGTAGCCGTGCTGAACTAACAAATTATCGCCCGATAACACTACTTCCTGTGATCTCCAAGGTTATGGAGTCCACCGTAGCTGAGGCTTTAACGAGGTACCTAGAGAACAACAAAACAACAAAATTCTCGTTCCAGAACATCATAGATTTTGCCAAAATCTCTCCTGTACCACTAAGCTTTTGATTGCTCGTGCAAGCTAAACGGAATCTGCGGACGCTGGTGATGGCGTAGACGCGGCCTACTTGGGTTTCTCAAAAGCATTCTCCTCCACAAACGCCAGAAATATGGAATCGGCGGTCCTGTTCTGGGCTGGATAGAAGACGTTCTCGTGCAACTTCACCAGAATGTGAGGGTTTGAGGCAACGTATCGGAATCCATCGAAATTCAGTGCAGCGTACTTCAAGGCTCGGTACTTAGACCCCGCCTGTTCCTGGTCTTCATAAATGACCTCGCGAATGTGCTATCTTCTAACTGTTTGTTATTTGCTGATGACCTAAAGGTATGGCGCACTATAGCTGCAGTGAAGGATCACAGAGTCTTACAGGAGGACCTGGACAAACCGTATACATGGTCCATCGAGAACATGCTGCATTTCAACATCACCAAGTGCAAAGTTCTCAGCGTTAGGCACAAGCGTATGCACAAGTACTGCCTAGGACCACAAATTCTACAGCGGGCTTCTCAAGAGTGCGATCACGGCGTGCTAGTTCAAGATGACCTCGGTTGTTCGAGGCAGACTGAATAGGCAGTTAAGAAAACGAACCAGTACCTCGACTTTCTTCGCAGAGCTTTCGGGATGTGTGAACCTTCAGGCTTTCCAAAAATGCTTAGAGCGTACGTGAGGCCGCACGCGGAATACGCTGTTCAAGCGTGGCAACCGAGGCTCAAGCATCATCTCACCGCGCTCGATACTGCACAGCGTAGGGCAACGAAGAGCGTCAGAAGTTTGACCAGCCTCCCCTACCCACTCAGGCTGAAGACCCTCAAAATATACAGTGGACGTTATCGGCGTCTTAGGGGCGATCTCATAATGGTGTACCAGATCCTGAGAAACCCCAAGCACCCATACCATTCCCTTCTAACACTTAGTCAAAACACCTTGCTAAGATGTCACCAGTTTAATTTAGTCACGCAGTACAGCAGCCTGGAATGTCGGCGAAATTATTTCTCCCTTCGAGTGGCACAGCCTTGGAAAGCCCTCCAGGAACATGTAATTACTGCACCCACCCTAACCCTTTTCAAAAACGTCTTGACGATACCCTGTCACATTTGCACTGCATGCTATAGCTCATGACCACCAGATGCTGGCACTAATGCACAACAGATAGGAGATAATGCCAAAGCCCTACTCGAAAATGAGTCGCTCTAAACGCCTTGCGCGAAATTTGATTAACGCTACACCTATAGAAACTGGATTTCTGTATCCTGTAGACCCAAGATAGTTGCACACGAGTAAGCGTTGTCCTTGCTATCATTTTATTTTTCTCGCCTGTTGTGTGATCAAAAACCACTCCCCTGTTGCTTTGTGTGCGTACATTCTCATTTCAAGCTCACTTTATACGACAATGCAGTCACATCTGTAAGCGCGCTAACTGACGACTCCATTATCACTTCTCTACCATTTTTGCCACGCTAAAAACACTACGGGACATAACAAGCACCTGCTTTTTTACCCGTTATAAATCGTTGTTCATTGTTCTACAATTTAGGTAGCCTGTACAAGGTTTGGTCTACTGCCGATTACATACATATCAACATGTCTGCTGCACAACCTAATGATCTGTAAATTTTGAGCAGGCCAGCTTTGGTGTGACTCGATTAATTTTAAAATACAATAATTATTTATTTATTTATAACTATCCCAAAACTGATAGAAATTCTAGGAGGCTTTATTACAGAAGACGAGTACTGGCAACAAGGCCTTAAGCACATACTTCAGCGCTGAGTATTAAAGAAACAGCGTTTACAACTTATTACTTCCATTCTGTGGTTGTTTTCATTCGCACGTGCCTTTGTTTAACCCGCAGGACTCCGCTTCCCATTTGTTACTCGCAGTTAGCTCTTCGTCCTGCGCTTGTATGAGCTTGGATATATTACTTATCACTCTGACCCCTCCTGAACTACTGCCAACAAAAGCACGACACTGGCTCTTCATCCGCCAATCAGCGGTTTATCTTCTTATTTAAAAATTAGTTTATCGACTGCAGCCTTACTTTCGTTGTTCTGTGTACATAATACGCCACTGGCCCTTTAACAATTCTTACCACCGATCCCCATGTTCCCGCGGATTACCTGTCTAACGGAATGAGGCATCGTTGCCCAAATCTATATAGAGTCTTAAGGCTCCTTACCTATTGCATCACTGACAACTCTGTAAGCTTGCCTAGCTGGCTCGGACCATGACTTGGCATAGGCCTCCATTGCATTCGTCATTCGTCCAAGCCTGTTATCATTTACCTTATCTTATCTTGAACTTTTTGTTTTTTCTGCTGACATTCCGCACTTTTATGCTTACGTTAATTTGAAGGCATAACCGCAATGCGCTGACTTATCTGGCCTCGGCTGAACGGCATCCGACTTTCTGACTTCTCCCAGACTGCTGAGACCTAGGCTCTTATGACCTAACGCGCTGTACCCCTCAATTCGAGAGCAGTGCCGGCTCTGACTCATTCTTATTATGATGCCCACTTATATCTTTAACATCTGTATTTCAGCCGAGGTTCCCTGTTAGTATTTCGACCTACATTTTACGGCTCCAACACAATAAGGTGGCCTTTTAGTCTCGTCTCAACGGTCTCCTCCGTCCCGATCACGGAGACCTTACCGATCAAGGATCAGCAGACCCAACGGTCTCATCACCACACTTTCACTTCTCCTCAATATTAGCGTTTTCCATCCCGAGGCTAGGGTTCCTTTTCGCGCACCAGTTTGCAATCGTTCTTCAAATGGAGGATAAATTTTCGAAGCCGGCCCTAATCAAGCCTCGTCTGACCAGGCTAATGTTTTCCTACTGCTTCCAGGGCCTAGCTACTTAAACTTTCTAGGCTCTGCTGACCTAATAATCTGTTCTACTCATCCTGCGCACTGTGCTCTGCATGCTAACTACCTTCCCGGTCTCTCTTGGCTTTCAATGACTTGAAAGCTCTGCCGGCTCTTGACTATCCCTTCACAGTCCCAACCCCACGTCCTATTGGAATACTAGTTAATTAACCATGCTCTATCACTAGTACGACTGACATTGCATTACGCCTAGATGAAAGCTCCTCACATTACTGCCCATCTTTCAAACATTTTATCGCTTTTCTCCTCCTAGCATCCTTCAGTTACATCGTAGTTAAACGTGATAACTGTCTGCTGCTATTTATGAGCCTATACAAAATTTGCGAATATTCCTCTTTACCTTCCAACGATGACTAGCTGCTTCTGACTTATGCTTTTTTCTCATTTCTTACCACATGTCCAGCTGGTCAACCTAAAGGATTAGGCGCATGCGTGTGGTAGGTCTGACTGTCTTCCATTGCTGTCCGTCTGAATTCCTTCTGTTACCTGTAGCCTTCATTTAAATAAAAGCGGCAGTAAACTCATTTGATACCATAGTATCCCACGTTTGGGTGGTTCACCGAATGTATTGAAGCGCTGGCGAGCCACCATGATTTACAACTATGGGTTCATAATAATACTCGTCCTACAACGCCATCCCGGCTTCACCTATGGCGTGTCGTCCTTCACTATAAGTTACCTCTACACAACGGTCAGCTCAGCAGTCCACGTTTCCTAAACCTCCCAATACAGAGCGGCTT